AGAGAAAGGGAGAGATACTACTATAAGAGAGAGAGAGAGAGAGAGAAAACACGGAAGAAAAAGATACAAAGGTGTATTATATATATAACGAGTAGATAGAGAAAGACGGAGAGAGAGAGAAAGAGAGCGAGAGAGAGAGAATTACGCTATACCTTGTAGTCGACGTTACACATATCTTTCGAGACGCGAGTTCATTTTTTGAGAGCACAACGCCATGGGGCACGCGATCGCTCGCGACTCGACCGGTCGTCGCGGTAGCGGGCGAAAGGTGCGCGCGGGTAACGGTAACCCCTGGCCCAAAAAGTCGGTCCACATATCAGACTCCGGTCGGCGTCTCCAGCTCCCCTCTCGCGATCCTTTCGTTATCTCGATTCCCCCCGTCGGGCGAAGTCGCGAAACAACGGAACGAACGGCTCTCTTTCCGCGCGATCTCGCGTCGACGAGCGGGGCTCCTTTTCCTTCCACCGAATCGGTTCGTCGTTCCGGACGAATTCGTCGTCGCGAACGCGCTGCGACGTTCGGTCGTGGTTGCGCGTCGTGGACCGTCTCGTTGTCGAGGATGAATTTATCGTCGGGACCGCACCCATCGCCGCGACCGCCGTCGACCCGAGATCCCCGGAACTGTCCCCCGTCGCCCTAGAATCGGAGTAACCGTAACGCCGGTTACCGCTGCCGACGCTGCCGTTTACCGCTACCGACCGCGACCGCGATCGGCCCGTTATATCCGACAGCCGCGCGTATAGCCGTGCCGTGGTCGGAATGCTCCTCGATCGACCGTCGCCTCGTCTCGCCGCGCCTCGCGTTGGTTCGGCAATCGCGAGAATCGGATCGGATCGCGAGAGACCGGACTCTTTCGAAAGGACGTCGTTCGGTTCCGCTTTCGTTCTTCGCCGCGATCGAAATTGGAATCCTATATCGGTACCGACGGTCGATGCGAGCGGCGGTTTCCGTCCCGCGGCGCGAGCTCGAAGGCGATCTCGCCGATCGGTCGCCGAACGGAGGCTCGATGGGCGCGATATCTCGTTTCCCATGGAGAAGAAAAAAACGGTCGAGAATCGAGAGACGTTGCGACCCCGCGCTACCGTTTTTCCCGCTATCTCGGTATCCGCCTATCGCGTTCGATCGACGTCGGACAGAGAGAGAGAGAGAGAGAGAGAAAGAGAGAGACTCGGCGATCCGCTCGACGCGTACGCAAGGAAACGTGCCCGTAACGGTTGAATCGCGTCGCGTTCGCGCGACCAGCAGCACACGACCAGAAATAAAGAGAAAGAAAAACACAAAAAACAAAAAACAATGTAATTTTATCGTCAGTGTTACTTGAATGTTAGCCGAAGCTACCGTACGACGATTGTTCGTTCCGACAGATATAATAATTACGGAATATATAATACACGTATTATAGCGAGTACATATAATATGTATATTATGTATCGTATAGAGGGACGTATTAGCCCGAACAGTTATCCACGACCAAAAAGTGCCGAAACTTTGGCGAGAGAAACGTTGAGAAACAACGTCGAGAAACGTCGAGAAAACAACGTCGAGAGAAACGTCGGGAGAAAGGCTGAACGACTCGCGTCGTTCTCGAGGCCTCGAAAATGTCCGACGCGCACGATCGAGAAAATAGTCGAAAATAAACGCGGTCGTGCGTGCTCGTCGACGCGAGGGGTACGCACGCGTACGGAGAACGCGTACTCTCGTGCACGCGTACGCGGTATTGCCTCCCTACGGTCGCGGTCCCGTCGCCGGCGACCACCGTGCGACGAGAGCAAATCCGATTTTCCGTGATTCCCACCGATCGGGTTCGCTCTCGGCCGCCCCTTTCGGTCGCCGGTATTCGCCCGATACCGATACTACAGAAGCAGGCGATTGCGACGAGCTCTATAAAGAGCGATCGCGAGGAGGAAATATCGTACATGTACAAGGTGTCCCGGGATTTCATCGCCTCGCCTCGCTCGCCTCGTCTCGTCTCGCTTCGCCTCGCCTCGCCTCGCTTCGCCTCGCCTCTCCAGACCTCGCCGCGTCCGCGAACTAATATTCGGAAAAATGTACACGGACGCGAGTCCCTCGACGTTCCACCAAAAAATTGCTAGGCCACGCGCGGTCCCTACGACCGTCTCGTTGAAACGCTCGAATCGTCGCATTTCCGGAAGTCTATCTTGAAAGTTCGATCAAAGATTAACCCTTTGCGGTCGAAGCTGTTTCAACAGAAAATATAAAATCATTTTTCCGACTTACAGTATTTCTATTCTATTGGAGAAAATGCATTTTATGCGTATATGAAAATTGACTCTTGGGACTCGCGCAACAGTTACGCTCTTAACAATTTTTCAAATGTAAACTCTTTGTTCGTGTCACAATTATTCTAAAAGGTGATATAGCAAAGAGATTAGTGGTGCCTCGGAGTCGCCATTCGACTGCAAACGGTTAACGCGGCTGATCCGACACTCGATCGATCCCACGGATTTATTCGACGCTGCCTGCGTGTCTTCTTCCGTCGACCGGTCGGGAACGATTCGAATATTTCCAAACGTCTGCGATCCAGCCAAAGATTAACCCCTTGACATACCAATTTCTTCGCAGTTACTGCGATTAGAAATTTTTCGATTACCATAATTTCATAGAAGGGAAAGAAAATTGATGCTTATTATATTATATTATATTATATTATATTATATTATATTATATTATAATATATTATAATATTAGATTAGAATTTTATTCAAATTTTAATGGACAGAATAACATATATATTCAATAAGTTATTATTAGAAATTTTCATGACGAGTCGGACTCGTCAAAAAAAGTACGTCAAGGGGTTAATCGTTCACGTAGAGAGAATCGGCCGACGCTGTTCCGCGCGGATGTCGATGGAAGAACATATCGAGTCTTCGGTCCGCTCGAGATTTCCTTATTTTTACGAGAGGACCGCGCGCGCGCAAAATTCCATCGCGTTCGCGAGACATCGTGTTCCGCGAGGAGCAAGTGTCTCGCTTGCCGTCGATCGTTGTTTCGCTCTTGGTTCGCCGAAAACGGCTCTCGCGAGCAGCGACGCGTCGAATTTGCCCGCGATACCCTACGATACAGGAACGAGAAGAGGAACGAAGCAGAGTTATTTCGTAATAATCGTTGTTAAAACTGCGGAGCAGCTGCGCTCCTATTTCTTTTTTCACACGCGCCACGCCGGTGATATCTTCGATCTACGTTCTTTTTTAGCGGGCGGAACGGAAGAGAGCGAGCGAGCGAGCGAGCGAGCGTCGGAGAGGAAGAGAGAGTGCGAGTGTGTGATTGTGCGTGTGCGCGCGCGTGTGTGTGTGTGTGCGCGTGCGAGAGAGAAAGAGAGAGAGAGAGAGCGCGAGCGAGCGAGCGAGAAAGAGGGATCGCGGATTTTACCACCGCTCGAATAGAGATTTAATGTTTGTAAGGGCAATAACGATTGTAAATTTTTCAAGTACACTTGTATTTGAATGTGTAAGTTGCATAAAAAAGACAGATTTTTTAGGTATTGCACTATAATATTTATTATTCTAAGGTAAACGAGAGACAGGGTCGCGATTCGCCGCGCTCGCGAATACCTCGCCCGCGCCAACCCCCGGTGTTTTCGGCCTCGATCGCGTGCGACCCACCGACGGGGATCGAAGGCAGCCGGGGGGATCCTCGAGTCGCCAGTTTTCGCGATGCGTTTTCATTTCTTCTCCCATCCTCGAGAGCTCGCGAAAGGTAATTACGAAAACGAAACAAAACAAACGCAAGATGATTCTCTATTCTCAGCGATCGACGCCCCGAGTCGCAAGCGCGGCCGCTTCGCGGCGATCATTGATTAATATTAATTGATAAACAGGCAAATCGAACGCATTGTTCTTTCCAATAAAAGAGAAAGCAAGATTTTTAGTGTTTACACTACAATTGATAAACGATTCTATTATTACATAATATTATATTAATAACAATATTATTACTGTAATGTTTGTTTTTGGTTATTAAAGTGTGTATATAGCAATATATTCTAGAAACGGTCTCGCCTATCGAATCACTCGCGCCACCCATCTACCCCTGCTGCAGTTTCGATCGTATAAATTTCAGAGTTGCACGGACGCGATAAGAGGATACGGAGAGAGAGAGAGAGAGAGAGAGAGAGAGAGAGAGAGAGAACACAGAGGGAGAATGCTGCGACGGTATAGAATTTTATATCGATCGAATATTACGTCGATCGAATCGAAGCAACGTTCGTTTCGTTTACATCGATGCGACAAATTCTCCCGAACAATTCCATGCCCTTTTTGTTTCCGATTCGTTCCGCACCCCGCCCGATTTTCCTATAATTCATATTTTTAGGCGACCCTGCGTTCCGCGTATCCGCGCGCGTACGATGCGGCCGATCGCAGCGCCTCTTTCGGAGAAACAACGAAGCTCCTTTCGAGGTCCGTACAGCGCCAATTACTACGGTGGCAAAACACTGAAACCGCTAACCAAACGGTGGCGCCGCTTGCGGCAAAAGTTGGAAGCTCCTTCCGAGGTCCGTACAGCGCCAATTACTACGGTGGCAAAACGCTGAAACTGTTAGCCAAAATCCAGCTGTCGGTAATATTGGCCAACAGTTTCAGCGTTTCGCCACCGTGACCCGTTTGTTCTCTACAAAAGTTTATTCGTTCCGAATAATATCGGATGTCGCACGATTAATGTTTTTCACGTACGCATCGAGGATCGACGGCGCGTTTCTTCGGTTCGACGGTGTACCGAACTCGATCCGATCGCGGTCGAGTGTTTCGCGCGAGATCGTTCCGACTACGATGGTAATGCGCATAATTTTGACGGTTCGTTCGACGTACGAGAGTAACAACGAATAAATAAAATACGAATTTCTTTCTCACCGATAATTCCCAAGGATACCGATGATATATTTTAATCGCGACGAAAGACTCCTCGAAGCGGATTTTATTTCGAATAAACGTGCAACGATTCGTTCAGTTCGAGCCACGTGATCGCACGTGCCTCTGCGTCTGTCTCTATCGGACCACCTTGTTTTCGATTTATCCGCAAGGTTGAACGAATCGAGCGTACGCTGGATCGACGCGTCGTACCGTGTATACGAGACGTTACGATCGTCCAACAGAGTCTCGCGTTTCTCGCCGTTACAATTTCTTTTCGTTTCCATCGATTCATCGAACCTCCTCTGATATTATTCGTTCGATCGAAGCCGAACGTTCCGAGTCATCCCCACCCTGAACGTTTCGGTCTATCTTCTTTCATCGCGGTCGCAGTCGCAGTTCTAGTGGCAGTGTGCAGTACCTTCTGCCTTCTGCTGTTTGGCCGACGTAACGCATCGGGGAAATCGTTCAGCAAAATGTATTCGAAAACTATCGGAGACCGTCAAGCTAATCAGGAACATGTTTTGGCTGTTTCGAGAGACTTTATCGCGCAGCCTCGACTGAGTAAGTCAGCAAATTTGTTTTCTTAAATGCTGTAACCGCGAATTCGCAGAGTAGAAATTCACTCGACGTAAACTGGGCGTAGCAGCGGATCGATTCGCGACTGGTCAGCTGATCCGAAACTGTTGGCACCTACGATCGTTTATCAATTATTCGAACAAAAATATGATCGTAACGCGTGCAAACCTCCCCAAAGGATCGATTATTTTTCACTCGGAGAATCAATTTATAAACGTGGTTCGTTTCTTCGAGGAAATACTCGGTTCGCTATCGCTATCATGTGACCAGAGAGAGACCCAGCCACTGACATAACGAGTTTCAACGATTTATCGTAGCAGCATTTAGACGTGCTTTCTCGAGACAGAGACGACGAAAACGATTGCTTTTTATTCGTTGAAATCCTCGTATCGTTCTCGCGCCAATTCCTTCGTTGGTGTCTAACGTTCATTTTTATTCCCGTAGCATACAAAACTGTGTCGGGCGTGAACGGACCTCTCGTCATATTGGATGAAGTCAAGTTCCCAAAATTCGCGGAAATTGTTCAACTGAAGCTCGCCGACGGATCCATGAGATCGGGACAAGTTTTAGAAGTGTCCGGCTCGAAAGCGGTGGTTCAGGTATTCGAGGGTACCTCCGGCATCGATGCGAAAAACACGCATTGTGAATTTACCGGGGACATTCTTCGAACACCCGTGTCCGAGGATATGTTGGGTCGTGTTTTCAACGGATCCGGAAAGCCGATCGACAAAGGACCCCCGATTCTTGCCGAAGACTTTTTAGACATCGATGGTCAACCGATCAATCCATGGTCCCGTATTTATCCCGAAGAAATGATACAGACCGGTATCTCGGCCATCGATGTTATGAATTCTATTGCTCGCGGTCAGAAGATACCTATATTCTCGGCAGCTGGATTGCCCCACAACGAGGTAAACATTTTTGTAAAATAATATATATATATATATCTTTCCATGTAACGATCGTATAAATTTTATAATCTCGCGTTATACAATTTCCTTTAGATCGCTGCGCAAATTTGTCGTCAAGCGGGTCTTGTCAAGGTCCCTGGAAAGTCGGTGTTAGATTCCCACGAGGACAACTTTGCCATCGTATTCGCAGCCATGGGTGTAAATATGGAAACTGCCCGTTTCTTCAAACAAGATTTCGAAGAGAACGGTTCTATGGAAAATGTTTGCCTGTTCTTGAACTTGGCCAACGATCCCACCATCGAGAGAATCATCACTCCGCGCCTTGCTCTGACCGCAGCCGAATTCTTGGCTTATCAATGCGAGAAACACGTTCTAGTTATACTCACCGACATGTCCTCGTACGCCGAGGCTCTCCGCGAGGTATCGGCCGCTCGCGAAGAAGTGCCGGGTAGACGCGGTTTCCCCGGCTACATGTACACCGATTTGGCTACCCTGTACGAACGGGCTGGCCGGGTAGAAGGCCGTAACGGTTCCATCACGCAAATTCCGATTCTGACTATGCCGAACGACGACATCACTCATCCTATTCCCGATTTAACCGGATACATTACCGAGGGACAAATTTACGTTGATCGTCAGCTTCACAACAGACAAATTTATCCACCCGTAAACGTACTACCGTCTCTGTCTCGTTTAATGAAGTCTGCCATTGGCGAAGGCATGACCAGGAAAGATCACTCCGACGTGTCCAATCAATTGGTTCGTGTGTCCCGTTATTATTTCGTATAATAGTTTTCACATTTTCGGATATCATAGATTTACCAACTAACCATTTTGTTCCAGTACGCGTGCTACGCTATTGGAAAAGATGTGCAAGCTATGAAGGCTGTTGTCGGTGAAGAAGCTTTGACACCCGACGATCTCTTGTATTTGGAGTTTCTGTCGAAATTCGAGAAGAACTTCATTTCCCAGGGCAGCTACGAGAATCGCACAGTCTTCGAATCGCTGGATATCGGTTGGCAATTGCTGCGTATCTTCCCGAAAGAGATGCTCAAGCGAATCCCTGCCACTACCCTCGCAGAATTTTATCCGAGAGATTCCCGCCATTAACTGTTCCTCTTATAACTTAATTTTCATCTTCCTGAGAACACTCCATGAAGAATGGAAAAATAAAAAGAACACGAATATGAGTCCTGCGCCTAATGGAAAGAGCAATGAGATTTCATATCAACGGAATGATCCCAAGAATTGTCGTTAACCAAATTCGAGCAATTAATTAAACGCGATACAATCGAATGAAATTATTTTTCGAAAGTTTGTAAATTATGAGATTCGACAATAATAACTAAAAGCGTATGCTGGTAAAAATAATGTTTGCACAAAACATGTATGTAAAGGTCAGGACTATGTTATACTGTTGAACGTTAATTCAATAGCGGCATTGTAATTTTAATTGTAATGTTTTCTGACGTATTCAAATGTTCGCTTGCAGAAAGTGATCGTGTAAAGTGTAATATATTACTCAGTATTAACGTAGAGAAGAAAAAAAGAAAGAAAAAAAATAATGAGAAAGAGATTGCGAGATCATATCACTTTTTTGTCCTACATTCCGATAGATTTTCATTTGAGTTTTCACGAAATCGAAAAATAGAGAAGTGTTTCGTTCGATATTGATGCAAATTTTTTTAAACTTGTACCGATAAACAACTTTTAAAAACCATATTTTCCAAGCACTCCACAGTTGCTTCGATGTTACGTAGAATAGTATCGTTGTTTCGATAATAAATATACATGTACGAATATAGGTTAAATATACATGATTTTGTTGACGATACCGGTATCAAATTAACAGCCGAAAATGCAGATACACTAGCAGACGATACGGATACGATCGTTGAGCGAAATATATACGATACATGTGTTCGAACATGTTCCATTTGCATATTATTATTTTACAAGAGCAACCAAGTACAGTCTGGATCGAATCGAGACAACATACGATTATAGAGATACAACATCTTGGAAACTACGCTAATGCTCGTTCTGTGTGAAAAACACGTCGTGTTTCGTTATATGTATACGCTTGTTGATTCTCTGTAATTATATTCACCGTAAAATTTTAAATATCAATGTTTATCATTTAGTTGTCAAGTTCTGGCTGTTAATTGTTGCACTGCTAATTGGACACGGAGTTCGATGCAAGCGTCCTTTTCTTCTATGATACTACGAATTAAGGTGGTCATTTTTTTCTGAAATCAAACGGAACGATGATACGAAAAGACGAATTTTGAACAATCGTTTGCACAATTATGTATAAATATAACAGAAATACCTCGAGCAACTGATTTTCTTTGACTAATTGAATCATGGCTGTCCATTCAGCTTCATTCGGCGAATGTACTCTTCCTGGTTTTTCTGGTTTTTTCTTTTCCGGGCCTCTCTCTGACAACATTTCCGTCAGTCGTTTAATTTCATTTCTTTCTTGATTTATCCGTGACTTTAGTAACGCCTGCATGTTTAATAATTCTTCGTAAATTAAGCTCTCCCTCAATTTGTCTATAACGTTTTCTGGTTCGGGTTCCACCGTCGAAGCTGAAATAAAACCTTCGATTGCGGCACAATAGCATATATTGTGGAGAAAATTTTCCAAGGGTTCGATCCTTACCGCTTTCGTGTGCCTTGACCACTGCGGCACTACCGTCTTGTTCGCTAGATTGCAACGCAAGCGTAGATGGCTCAGCGGCAGAATCAACGATGTCGTTGTCGTTCGTCTGACTGCTTCGTTCGTTCTGATTACTATTTATACTTGTTGGTTCCTTACCCTCTTCCGAGGTATAAACTTTGTTGATCCTCTTTAACGTCGAGGTAGACGTCGTTTGCGCTTCAGATTTCACATGCGCCGTATCTTCTTCCTCGACTTTGCTTCTCTGTACACTCGGTTCGACCATATTTTCATCGTTTGTCTTTACTTCCTCGTCTAGGCTTTTCTGCGTGGCACCTTCCATTTTTTGAACCGTTTTATATTTTCTCTGAAAAGGCGGAAGAATATCATTGACCCATGATTATTTACAAACACGCGTTTCCGATGCTTAATTTGTCATAGAATCATACCTTTAATTGCGTTATCATCCGTTGTACCTCCCACAATTGTTCCTCGCGGGATTTTGTAACAAAGCCTGCATTCATTTGCATGTGTATTTGGGATAGCAACGATTCTTGTTTGGACAGTTCAGCAGCGATTGTTTCCACCGTGTCCGGCAGATTGACACTGCCTGGCGAGAGCGGTGGAACATACTTTGTCAGTGGTACATTTGGAAAGAGAGCTTTGCAATGAAATAACAGAGCTAGTAACAATCTATGACTCATTTGTAAGACAGGGCTTAATGTCATCGAGATGGTTTGAGCATTCATTTTTGTCGTTTTCTCCTGAAACGAAGTTTTCTGTCAGAGATAAATATACATGTAGGAGGTCGCGCGTATGCGCGAGTGTACGTACTCGCGCCGTGACATGATCCAAATGCAATATGACCCATGCAAGAAGAACCTTATTGCATTCTGGAAGTTGTTGAGTGAGCTGTATCAACTGTCCTTCCCTTTGTGCGACATCTTTAGTGGATGCTGCTTGCTCAAACCTGGATATCGTCTCGCTGTTTTCCAACACAGGCTCCGGTAACTCTCTAGAACCGCAAACACTCTAATAATAATCCTTCGTATACTAATACTAATTCCCGTTAAACTCATTCCATAATGCGAACCTCAGAAATAATATTAACAAGCTGGTTGCCACTGTTGGTTCGAATTCTGATATATTTACATGCTCTCTGTTGTTGTACAACTTTTTTAAATATTGAACTTTTGACTTCACTCCTGGAACTTTGTACAAAGCTTCTACACTCATTCCATTTTCTTCTACAAAGTCGATGCAATCTCTTACAACCAATGGAAGTTCAACACCGTCGTGGCAACGACTTCGTTCCACTGCTAAATGCAAGCTAACGCCGAATATCGGTTGTGCCTCTGAACGAACAATTTGAAAATTTCAATACAAATTTCAACACAGCAGATACAAGAAAAAAAACACATTTTCTAATCGACACTGTACTCTTTACCTCCGATGTCCAAACAATCCTCTCCGGCATGCTTTCCCTTCTTACGGTCTTTCAATTTCTGTTTAGCCTTGTCCTTCTCCTTCTCCTTACGTTTCTCTTTATCTACATCTTTTTCGTCCTTGTCCTTCTTCTTTTTATCTTTCTCTTTCTCCGCATCTTTCTCTTTGTTCTCCTTTTCTCTGGACTTCTCTCGTTTTTCTTTTTTCGAAGGAAACTTAAAAGCCTTGGTCTTTTTCGACTTCGACGGACTTCTATAAGATGGATTTCATAATTAACTCGAGGAAACAAGTTCGCCATAATAATAAAGACTTTCTCATCTTCCACATATTATTCATTGTCATTTTGCAAATAGATTACAACAACTTTTACAATGAAATACACATTCACTATCGTAATGAGAACTAGAACAATTAACAATATCAAGTCATAAATATTTGCTACAAGTTTGTTTCCCATTTAAAAATAGTTGACTTCAAGTTATCTACTAACTGTGCATACGATATGACGCGAATCAATACATCTAATTTTAGATTGATACGAGGCTTAATTAACACGACAGTGCCAACAATATGTGAAAATTAAAGATTATTGTATCGTGATAGGTGACATCGACACAAGCACTTTTATGTCACGAATTAAACAAGATGTTTACCAAGAACGAAGGAAACGTTTGATTGAACTTAATATTAAAATACTGATAATTACGAATTCACTTCTAGCACACAATTAAACAGGATTAAATATTCTAATAGATATGTTCTAAGATATTTTAAATACATAAATAACTCTATAAAATAATATTACTTTGTTTCTTGATCCTCGTCAGGGGAACTTTCACCCTCTAATGTGGCATATCCCCGGTCTTTACGATCTTTTTTCTCTTTACGTTTACCGCCAAGAAGTTCTTTCTTAGAATGTTTCTCGTGTCCACCTTCGTCGCTAACTAAAAATATATGCACGCAGCAATCAATACAAATTACTATAATTTATGGCTTACTACAATTTATTGTTACAACGCGTTGACCAAGTAGAAATTACAACAAAAGGGATATGGTCACGGTCATAACATTGAATGACAGGGATAACAGGTGTACGTATAACCTCTTATCTTACAAATCTGTAATCGAAGGGAGCTATTAATTCAACGAGTAATTATACGTACAATCGCTTTCGTTACTTTTCTTAGCGGATTCCGACGCGTACAGTCCTGGAAACTCTTTTTCTACGTCGGGGCTTTCGAAATCCATTCTCCTCTTCCGCCCGAAAGATGCATCAGCCGACTTAAAAAATTCTCGTGTCAAACTATCGATTATTATGTTTCGAGTTTTCTATCTCGATTCTTCGTAACAGGGATCATACCTATGCGTGTATGCGAGGCATGCATACATAATCGCATCGGCGCGAGATCGATTGCCTCGAGCCCGCGAAATTTCCATAATAATTCACCTTTCTTTTCAAGATTGTTCCCGATAATGAAACCAAACGTTACGTGACCACATTCCGTACATCCGAACGAAACCATGGTTTGAAAACATAGCCGTCGGCTTCTTTGCTTGCCATGTACGTAAAGAATGCTTCTTTGAACGACATGTCTGGATATTTTCCATAATCCATCGTGTTCCACATCGATCGGGCATATAAGACGCGATCTTTGCGAACTTGGCTATAGAATATCGCCTTTTTCTTTATAATCTGTGAAAGAATCGAACGATCCTTGGAATAAAAATATCTATCTGGTCCGTAGAAAAAGAAACAAACAAACAAACAAACTTGTTCTTTTATCCTGTCGGCATCATCGAAAGTTAATTTTCTGAGTTGTAGTTTGGTCATACCTATCGATGGCGGTTCAATTCTCGACACGTTTCCAACGTTCAGGCTATTCCACATCACGATACTCTTTCGCACCGAATCATCTTAAAGGATATAATCAAATTAAAGAAAACCAGTTACCAGTTGTAAGCAACGAGAATGAAAAATTCACCGCATCTACCTCTATCCGTATTACTAAGGGCAATCCCTTTCCTGTACATCAACCAGTATCTTAACTGCGGCAACAGGAAACACTTTGGCAATTTTGCAAATAGGAATCCCTCTGTTGCCAGTTTGCTTAATTCGTTCTAGTCGTTAAATTCTTTATGCGTTATTGCGTTCATCGATGAAATTGCGGTCGATAGAGAAGAAAAAGAAACGAATTTACCTTTACCAAAGTCATAAGATGAGAATCATAAGAAATTTCTGAGTCTTCCTTGTCAGCTGCCGCCTCTACAAGCTTCTCTTTCGAGTAGGTACTTGTATGTTGCAAATGAGAATCCGTTTTAGTTGTTTTAGATAGTTTAGATCGAGTTCTCGATGAACTTTGAGATTTTGTTGATTCTACAACTCTTCGAATGTCAGTTTTCTCTCTGAGAAAATTACGGATTTCTTCTTGTTCAGGCTTTTTAGGAGAATGTATAATAATGTCACGTGTATTTTCTACACTTTTGTCAGATTTTGACCGCAGTTTTGACCTCTCGGTATTATCCTTACTTATTTGCTTACTCGTACTATCGGATCTTCTTCGTTGTTTGATCTTTTTCGAAAGCAACATCGTACCGTTGCTGCTTCCTTCTTGCACATCTTCGTCTTCCGAAGCACTATTCGAGTTACATGTCTTGTCGCAACTATGGGTACCATGCGAGTCGTATACTTTGTCGGGCACATGAATTTGTTTGTATGCTTTCTCGGTAGCCATCTTTCTTTTATAATCTTCAGCACGTTGCAACTCTTCTGGTTTAGGCAACGGTCCAGGCGGAATATTCACGGGTGACCAGTGTCGATGTAAACAAACGCATGGTATCTCTTCTACACTTGGCTCGGGTGTTTGAATAGGTGTAGCCATACGAACGCCGCTAACTATCGGTTTCGGTGGTTCTTCGGTATAATTTTCAACAACACCAGTTATGCTATATTTAACATCGTCTATGTACTCGTCTTCCCTTGGAATTCTCTTTACCCCGGATATCATTAACTTCGTGTCTGCGACCACCGGTTTCGAAGTATTCTCGATATTTATGAATGGCTGTTTTTTCAAGGATTTCAATTTTTCTCGGCGTTCCTTCCACTTTACCTTTTCCTCTTTATTCTCGAGTATTTTTCTTTCGTACTTACATTCACAGACTGGTCTTTTGACCACGAGTCTTGCACGGGGTGGTCCGCAGCCTGTTCGATTAAATTTTCTGCACTTTAACCAACAAGGCATCGAATCCCTGCATCGCGTATAATAGTCGATCAATCCTATATCCTTGAGCGCCAATTCCCATCGTTCTTTCGGTGGCTTACGTTTTACTAATTCCTGTCTGTTCTTTTCAAGCTCTTCGATCGCACTATCCGCCTTTTCGACTCGATCGTTTTCTTGTATAATATCATACACGTCTACAGATTCATTGCATCCGCATGGTTCGCTTTGCTTGAATGACTTCGATGCGGAGATTTTCGGTACGCCAAAGCGTTCCAGGTATTTTAAATTTTCGTCCGTACGTTTCGAGTGGCACATGTCGTACGGAGATTTATAGAGATCGTATTCAGGCACATATTCGTCGCTCCTGCGAGGACTCAAAGGTGGAGTGTGATAAATAATACCTTCTATCACTTGCAGCTTCTTGTCTTCTTCGTTTTTCTTCTTCTTAAATAGTTTACCGTCGATGTAATCCGTATCATCTTTCTTTCCACGTACCAAACCTCCTATGTTGTACATCAGTACTTTCTTTTTTGCTCGATTCTCACGACAAACGCATGGTTTGCCTCCTGTTCGTACTTCTATCGTTTCTGGAGGATAATCCGGTTCGCAAAGATAAACCAAAGTCTTCTTTGTTGGCAATTGTTGCTCCGACTTTGTTCTCCAACCACAGGGTCCTTTGCTCGGTAATTGCACATCCGTTTCTTCGACCACCGTTGTAGAATCATCCTCGGCATGTAAGTGCCCATATTCGTGTGCACACTCAGTTTGCAACTCTTCCGGAAGATCTACCGGTTTAACGTTGGGAGGATAGTTGTCGGGAGACATCAGCATCTTTTTCAAATCTAAAATCTGCTTCCTTGGATCGATGCTTTCATTTTCGATGCTCGGCAAATCTTTTCGTTTGTGCTTCTTCTTATTTAAATTAAATACTTTATCCTCCTTTTCCTTCTCGTGTCTCGCAGGCGAATTTTTCTTCGGATTCGATTTGTTCTTAGTTGTGCCGCTTCTATTTTTGTCATCCGATCGTTCATTCTTCTCACTTACAATCTTATTTCCGTTGTCTTTTGCTTGCTGTGATATCAAGCTCGTGGCAGGTTTCGATTTCGCTTCGATTTTTTTACTTTTCGGCTTTTCATGGAAAGAACGTTTCTCACCCTTCAAGTTTGAATTCAAATTTTTAGAAATTTGTTTAACAGGGATTGTGGTTTTTCCATTTCCTTTTTTTGTCCGAAGACTACCAACTTTTGGTCGTGTCGGTTCTTTAGAATCTCCTGTCTTATCACTCTTCGTGCTTTTATCGAACACCGTTCCTTCAGATTTTGCCCGAGTTCCTAAAGATCCTTTTCCATAGATCTCTCGAGTATCCTTCGTGACACTGGACTTCTTCTTTCGTTTATTTGCTATTTTATTCATTCGATTTGTTTCGGAGGAATGTGTCTCAGCGGATGATTTAGCGAGACGAGAAACGGCTATTTTCTCTGTATCCTTCCTCGATTTTGACGTATTTTTTGGTAACGATTCTGCCGGCGTCGCAGGTGGTTTAGGAGAACTGAGTTTCAGTAAAGCTTGAAAATCTGTTTCGGATTCTTTTTCCGATGGTGCTGTACGATGTATATTCCATGTATCATCGTAACCAGGATAAAGGGGATCTGGAATAAATTTCTTCGCTGCTTTCTCTTCTTTCGTTTTCTGCTTGCTAGCTAAAATATCTGGACTCGTGAGACATTTCTTATCTCGTTTTCTTTCCTTCTCCTTGCCTACTACTTTCGTCTCTTTTACTTTCTCTTTCGCATCTTCCTCCTCCTCCTCCTCCTCCTCCTCCTCTTCTTCGTCGAATTCTCCAGGTATTTCTTTCAAATCTATCGCCGGCTTTTTCCGTGGTATCCGTTCACCAAATGGTCCCTTGCAGACGGCACGACCAGGTTTCGTTCCACACGGAGGTCCCTACGTAACGCAACGATGCAATTAGAAATTAGAAATAAATGCAAAATTCTGGAATATTACGGACAACCATCTCTACCCTTAGTATCTGTTTCCTCAATTTTTCTAGTTCTTCTAACTCTTGCGGAGTCAGAGTGTGCAATCTACCCCATGGCGCACCACAAATACTCATACCATGTTCATCCCCGCACGGTGGAAAATCTGCGATGCTATACATTCTCTTTTCTTCCGAGGGGTCTATAGATTTTCTCTTTGTTTCCTCTACTCTCCTTTTCATGTCTACTATTTGCCGGTAAAATGGATTTCTCCTGCATGATTTATCACCGGGATACATTTTGCAGGAGACCGCAGGAGCTTCGTGGGGTCTAAATTTTTTTCCAAAGCACAAACCATCTTCTTTCGTCCACGGTATGTGATCGTGGCTTATTCCCTGTGTTAAACCTTTAGCTGATATTTGTTGAATAGCACACACACACGGTGGAACGTTTCTCGGTGGTCCGGGAGGTGGACGTTCGACAATCCTGGATGGTTGATGTATGATCTCGTCTGTGATCCCGGAAATATAATATTGTGTTTCGCCTTTCGGATTAGTAACACCATTTATCATCAGCTTGGTAGCGAGAACATCTTCCGAAGCAATCACTTCCAATAAATTCACCGTTGATTCTGGAGGTGTTGGCGCAGGTGAATGCATCGCCATTGATCCTATAATACATCTGTCGTAAAAACAAGCGACAAGTTTATATCTCAAAATTGCGTATTATCTGATTTCACTACTTTTTTCATTACTTGTTCTTTTTACTATCCTCAGCTATGGTATCTATCACGAAGTAGGGTGTTCTTACTTCCTTCCCTTTTATATACGACTTTCTACTTTGCCTGCAGGAACAACAGTTGTCACATTTAGGTCCTGGGAACACCAATCTCGTTATAGCACCTATATTTTTTATCAATTTCTTCATTTCTCTTTCGATTTTACGAAATTCTTCGTCCACGTTTTGTAACCATTCTTGCCACTTTGGCGATAAATTTTTTCTACCGCAGGGATAAATCTTTTTCGGTCCATCCCCGAGTTTAAGTACAGCGAAGAATTTTTCATTGCTGTTGGTTGGCGTTACGTTTGCAACGCCAGTCATTTCATACGTTATAGGGCACGAAGGTGGATTTTCTGCAGCTCCAGATACGATATAATGGGGATGTTTTTCACCAAGCCAAGACTTGTTGTATGGTCGGGGGGTTTGTAAGACTCCTACGACAGACGTACACGTTCAAAGAAACATTTGATACATGGTTCTATACACTTTGTCTATGTTGTATCCAAGCAAATATTATATACCGCATATTTTATACTCTACTGGTCCTGGTTTCTCGCTAACTCCGTTGATCGTAAAATCGAATACTTTACTTCCATTGGGTAGTCGTGCAATATCAAAAGTAGCCTCTTCTTTGTTTGCTTCTTTAAGCTTGTTTACCTCTTGTTCTGTACTTCTACTATCTGATACGTAAGTTGAGATTAGCATTGTACGTATGTACTGCTTATAAATACGTTTTGCTTAGAATCAACATACCTCTACTATGTTTCTTGGTAATACTTCCTTTCTGCTGTTCTTTAACTAAAGCAGAACTTGTTTTCTTTTTATTTCCCCCTTCTTTTTCTTCTTCTTCTTCTTCCTCTCTTTTCCATTTACGTTTTACCCGACTACTCAGACTTTGTTCTGTTTGATACAGTTTATTACCATTCGAACTTCCTCGATCTGCCTTTCTTCGCCCTTCGTTTTCTTCATGTTCACGACTGGTTTCTACGCTCGTATATTCAGTTAAGATGCACTCTTTAGGTGGCAATATTATCTTTGGTTTCGGCAATAATTGATAGCGTGCCCTCCAAATTTGAATGCGATTGTAATAAGATGCCCAATCCGGGCATATAAAAAGATCGTCTTCGTAAGGTGATTTTTTCTTCCGTCTTATCGGTAGTGACGGCGGTAAAGCTATGTAATGTAGACAATCGATTTTTACGTATAACTTATAAATACACGCGGTACAAAGATCGTACGTTTATTAGGAAGTTTTGGCTCTACCACAGGCGGCAATCTCTTGTGCAGTTCCATTATTGTTTCTGGCAAAGTTAGAAATGCGATAGCTGATAAAATTATTCTTTCGTTACAGTCGTAAAAGTGTTCTGAAATTATGATAGCACAGTGAACTATAGTCTTGTCTAAATAAATATATAAATTTAAGACGATAAAGCAACAAACTGTATTCTTCTTCCTCAAAATAATTTCCTGTTAAGACTTTGTAGATTTCTCTTAAAAATTTGATCGCGTCGCAATTAGAAGTTTCTTGTAATTTCCTAATGATATTTGGTGTAAGTAGAAAGAATGTAGACACTATTCCAATGTCAATGAGCATTCTTTCCGTACGTCCTGACACCATTTCTTCGCAGTCCCTGCGTATTACACACTGTAGCATCATTATGTTTTTCATCTGTTTTAAATTTGAATTACTTATTTACGTTATTAGTAATTAAGCTTCAGCAATTACTAAACATTAAATGTACCGTACTTGATCGATAGAAAAGTCTTGGTACCAACTAGGAAATTTAGATAATTTCTTATCCATGGAAAGATTAACTGAAAGAAATTACAAGAAAGAAATTATAAACTATGCATCGTCCGCGCCACTCCAAACAACCGTGAAACGAAATCATGAATTTACATTTTTCATTTCCAATTTTAACATTTCTATCCATTTCCTTGTTAAAAATTCTCTGTTTTTGTTCCCATAACATATCTTTTGCTTCTGTAATTTCATCTTCTATATACCATTCTATCGGTCCCCATTTTAAGCTTTCTGTCCATTTATCTTGTAAATTGATATACGATGATCCAAAACGGGACTGTAATCGTAAATTGTGAGAGGTATACGGTGGTATAGCACCCTGCCCTGAATGTAATCTACGTCTATGATCTCCAATATCTGCGTGTTTATTCTTGACAGATTGTTTCGCTTGTTCCGAACCCACGTATCCAGAAAATTGAGTTTCAAATTTTAAAAGTGGACTCTCATTTATTATATTTGCAGATGCGAACAGACTTTTGCGAAGAAATTTATTCTTGTCGTCGTATTTCGTCAGTGGATCAATATAGTCGGATGAACAACAAAAATCATAGGGCTTCAAAACCTCTGATTCTTCTTCTTTGTGCCTAGTTTTAGTTTTAGAGATTAATATAGTTGCATTCTATTTGTCTGTATATAGTAGAAGTTGCACAATTACCTTTTGCTATGCGGTTTATGTGTTGCGGTGGACATGTTTAATTTTTAGGAAGAAATTGATTTGGTTGAATAAAACGAACGATGGTAACAATAAAACATGTAAGGTATTTATCTTTTGTAAACCATTTTGCTTAAGGGCGATAGCACTTGTGAATTTAAAAGTAGTTTGCTTAATGGTTTTTAAGTTACAGCCAGTTTTGTGTAGTGAATGTATCTGCAGATATGTTGATGCTGATAAATAATACAAGATAGTCCTTCATACATGTAATATCCAAGAACTTATAAAATAATAAAAAAATGTAGGTGTTGAATTAAACTTTTACGTACATTCGTATATTAATTCTTACGTATTAGTAAACATTTTTGTTTGTATACTGTACAAAACCGATACAATAGTGTTTTGTCGAATGTTACAGTTCTTATGTAAAGTAAAAGATTTTTAAAAGAATCCTATGTTTAGGTTAATCTGAAAGATTATTTTCCAAGAAATTAAACGCTTTCTTTTTCACTAGTTACAGATTCTTCAAAACCACCCCGCTAACAGGCATCGAAACACTATCACCACATAGCGATCAAACGTCCGAACTAATCCATTTTCCATGCAGAGTACAGTACATACAGCCCAGTAGTAGTGCATACAGTAATTTCCCCATAGATGTTTTTAGTCGGTATCGAAACATGCGGCCATGAAAATTGTAAGGCATGATTCTTCGAGTCTCGCGGCTTGTCTTTATAGGAAGAGAGAAAGAATTTTTATTTATTGGTCAGATTTATCCAATTAGAATGATACGAAATACGACATGCTTTAGACCATATACGTAGCAAAAAAAGCATTAGAAAAATGTTAAAGTCGTTCAAAAAAAAATCTCATGGCTGTAATTTTACCAAAATTAGTGTTTTCAAGGGATCCTATATTGCGTATATGTGGGCAATTGTGGCGCCTCTTGTGGATCAAAAATAAAGCTTAGTCGGGATCCGAGCAGCTACAGTAGCGGCAAAACGCTCAAACTGTTAGCCAAATTACCAACAAGCGATTTTGGCTAATAATTTAAGCGTTTCACCGTTACTGGCGCTGTACGAATCTCGAATTACGCTAGATTTTTTTTCTTCAAAAAAGGCAAATGCGGCCCTATTATGCTGGTTATCCCTACTCGTGTTCCGAACAATATCGTTTTATTGTAAAAATCTATTACGGTTCGGCATGGCACGAAATTTTTAGCAACGCGTTTCTAATATGGGAAAATAACACGAGGCTGTTTTATCTGTAGGAAACGATATATTTATTGTAAACTAATAACACATACATATAACGTAATCATTTTTCAATATACATTATATTTATATGCGTAACACATCCGCAGGCAGGCACACTTAAATCATTCATTCTTTTATTCTTACATTCGTTCGAAAACGCGTACATGTACCAAATGTATATTTCACGTATAAAAATAATGTAATTCTTTGATTATGAATGCTTTCGACGCGTGTTACATGGTACATATACAACTTTCGAAAATATTTCTCTAGGCGTGTATGCGCGACACGCTTAACCTTTGGTTACATACTACCTCGACCATCGAATACGTTAGGCAACGGATAACCGAGTAAAGCACGGGAAAATGTTTGTAGAAACAAATAACAAGATCACGAAATATTACCATAAATACAACGTTGAATAAGAACGCAAAACTGGGAAGCCCGCCCGAAATCCTTTCCAATACTCGACCGATTCGTTTTGATGGCTTCACGATCCAATTCGCACATTTAACTCCTTCCGTCGACATTACACGTTCCGTTGCGTAGACGTTAAATCGATCCGTAAGTAATCGTCCGACGAGAACATCAACGCAAAACCTCCTCCCAAGGTGTTGTGGGTGTCTTTTGCTAATGTCGCTCGCCATTGGAAATAAGCGTTTTTCGTTTCCTTGTACTAAAACTTACTATAACATAACTAAGCATATGAAATGCCAGACAAGCTATTTACACGTGACAAAGAGTTTTGAAAAATGTAGTTGAAAAAAAAATAAAAAATGATACCAAAGTCAATGATGGTGAAAAGTTGTACTTTTGTGTGTGTGTATGTGCGTGTTCTGTGTGTGGTGTGTGTGCGCGCGCGCGTACGCGTATAAGAAAGAAGAGATGGATTAGGGTTCAAAAACCTAGACGCTTCAAGCTAGTTCGCGTCGCGTAATCGGCGATTCTTGACTTTTCGCCTTGCCAGCTCTTGCTTTTGCTACGAAATTTCTTGAGATCTGTTTCGTAATCCGGATGTTTCATCGGTCGATATCCTTGTGGTGAGCACAGTTGCTTCTGCTCTTTATAGAATTGCTCGTAACCTCCGTGCAACAAATATATCTCCGGATAATGGAGAGCGGGATAGCATCCTTTGTTTCGTTGTCGATCCAAATTTCGTAGCGACCGCGACAAATATGGTCCACGTTTCCACGAGAACTCGCAATGAAAAATCACGATGTTCCTCTTGTCGGTATCTGACTCGATGTTGGGAATATCGGTTAGAGGATTCAACAAGTTTTCCTCAATAAGGTCCTTATTGTACAGGTTCAGAGCACCTTGAATGTGTCCGGCTTCAAATTCGTAAGGATAACGACAGTCCACAATTTTGAAAGAACGGACACGATCGTCGAACTCTCCCTGAACCAGAGCGGCTAAGGTGCTCGCGGAAATCGATTTCAAATCTTGATGATGACCGACGGCCAACGGTAAAACCAATGGTTTACTAAAGTCACCGGTAAGATCGGTATCGGTGATGCTGCGATGAATAGCGGAATCGATTAGCGCGTGCGACTCGGTTTTGATCTCGATATTGGCGGCGGTATGGGTATCGGTATCAATATCGATATCGATATCGGTATCCGCGTCCATTATCGTCGCTTCCTTCGTCGTCTCCATGATCGCGATCGTCGCCGATGTTTCGGACAGACTTCTCCGGCAAGAAATGCCGACCAACGGCAAACTAAACGTGGGTGTATCGATCGAACAGTGCCGTATTCCATCGAAAACAGTGCTGTTCGAACTCCGAAGCCTCTTAGCTAGCATTGGACTGTCGTCCATTGGTGGATCGGGTCGCTTGAACGTGTTCCCGGACACGGGCGAATCGAGGTCGCTATTGTTCGAGAGTTCGTCGCTGTAGCAGATTCGTCTTCGGGGCAACGAGAGAATTTCGGCTGTTGCGGTCGTCGTTGCCATGATCTCTGTCGTGCTCGTTAACCGTTGCGACAACGGACTGTCCTCGAGATCGGAGTTTAAAATCGTGGGTGGCGGACTCGAGTTCGGAGAACCAAAAAGGCAGGAACGTACTTTCGAAAGTGACTTGCGGGTTTCTGGTTTTTCGTTTTGAAGGAAGAGAGACCGTCTAAAGTTGCCGGTGCGATTCGTGCGAGGAAACTCTGGCGTGCTAGGGCTGTTCGTGTCCATTTTGATGATGGACGAGATGTTACAGAGAGGCTCCGGCGACTCGATGCCAACGATATTGCCGCGAAGGAGAATCGAAATGCTGTTTGACAGCAGTTCGTTGGACACTTGGGAATCTTCTAAAGATTCGATGTCGTTGAAACCGTCGTCCATGCTTTCGTAGCCGGAGGAATGATTTCGAAAAAGAGTCTGTTGCATCACGCGTAGTTGTTGCGGCGACGATCGTAAAGGAGATTGTATCGGACTGCGATATTCGATGGACATTCGTCGCGGAGCAACAGCCATTGGTTCCAAGAATCGAAACCCCTCCTTGGGCTTTTCCATTTTTTCCGTGTAATTCGCTTCATAACAGTTATCCCGACTATTAGGATCGCAGTCTTCGAGCGGATAACGGCACCTTTTGCTTCCCAGTGGCGTCTGCAACAATAGAATTCGAATTTATAACGTCATTCTCGATAATATGCTATCAACGATAGTAAACGACACGATATAATTGCGGAAGCAATTTGCTTCGATCAACAAATTTGAAATGCTTACCTTTTGCGGGCTGACTCTGCGAGGATTGCTACCGATATTACTGTTTTCTTTCCCGACAGATGGCGAGACCGGTTCCAGACTGGAAAAGCGTCGCGGTGCCATGCCGAAGAGTCGACGTCCCGTTGGCGAAGATTTTATCGAGTTTCCGGATGTATTCTTGAATTTGAAGATATTTTTAAACAGCCTGTAAAGATAACGAAACGTATGGTTTAGCACGATTTGTATATACGATATAATGCCGAATCGAAGTTGTGTTACGCGGTAAAGATAGCGGGAAACGGTGACACGCCCGGCGCGGCGCGATGCAAGGACGAAGTGTCAACAAACCTAACCTAAACTTTAGTTTTCGCGGTAAACGAAAACTAATCGTAACGAAACGTAGAACGCGATGAAACTTTGCATAAAAATCGTGAGTTTCTTTTCGCGTACAGGAGTTGTCGTGTCGCAATTCAATAGAATTCTTTTCATAAGATGTCTCGATCCGCGCACCGATTATGTATTTGTAGCATCCGTCGTTTCAACCAGCATTTCTCGAATCGATATTTTTACGTCGTTACAAACGGGTACGTTGAATCAACCGTTCGTTCGAAAATACTACCTTCGATCTCGAACAAAGACAACTGTATAGAACGGTTGGTCGCACACGCGGTCATTTTTATGCGAAAACTACTGCCGCGCGCGTTAGCACTTTGCTATTTCGATGCAAACTCACGCGTGCAATGCAGTCGTAGTTTCTTCGAGCGAAACACGCGGCAACGACACCAGCGCGCTGGTGGCTGTGTAGGCCAGTCCAACACGTTCACGTGGATTTTGCGCGCGAATACGGTAAACGTTTCTTCGTCACGTGTATACACATACGCACAATATCGTAAGCGAATCGAATGAATCATTTCTTCCTAAATATTCGATTTCGTTTCTTCGAATCGAGATCGCGCGAGATGAAACGATAACGAATTCGAATTTTATTTCACCGATAACGAAAGGCTAAACGACAAGTTTCTCGACAAAATAAAATCTCGAAGGATAATATATTCCCATGTACCTTGTACACTGACACACTTCACACGATTCTGTGACACCATTCAACAACATATCAGCGAAACGGTGACTAAGATGATTTGTCCGGCGAAACTCAAAACGCACCGAATGAACGACAAGAAGAAGACTTTGGTTCGCGAACGAAGAATCGGAGGATCGTCGAAATAATCTATAATTTTACACGGAAACACTACCGCGGGTAAAACCCGGGTAAGACCCCGATAAAGCTTTCGTAGACACGAGTCTGTCAGCAAACGAAAAGAACCGACACACTACCGGCGATCAAGACTCGTCAACACTAACTGATCGATTCAGCGGGAACTTCTCTTTATATACGGTGGCTCTGTCTGGTGGGGGGTAGGGCCGACCAATCGGCAACTTGGAAAGGGCCCGCCTAAATTTTCTCATGCAGGGAGAACGGAACGCGGAATCCTCTGTTTAGGGCAACCGCTATGGGGGGCCCTTTCCTGCCTCTTTGCCGCCGTTTTTCGTTATGTACGTTCGTTTGTCGTTCGTTCGTTCGTCGTGTGTGCGTGCGTACGTGCATGTGTTCGTTCATACGCCCGTCCGTCCGTTCGGCGATTCACACGTTGGAACGTAAAATTGAATACACGTGTGCGACGAATTTGCCCACCCACCCGTATGTACAATCTCCGCACCGTTACCGCCAACGGTTTGCTTTAAACGTTACTCGTCCCGCAAAACGATTTTACACGTTTTGTTCGCGAATATCATCGTATCGCTGACGCCTGGATTTCAAAGTGGAACCACCAAACGATGTAAACGCAATATCGAAACGTATGTACCGTACATGTACGTATCTCGAAAGATTACAGGGTCCAGGACACTCCCTCCCTCGCCCTTCCAACAATCACTTTGTCGAAGAATCGTCCATCTCGTGTTCGCATATATTTTCGGTCATTCAATGGCTATAGGGCTTCTCGGTTTCGACAGCAGGAAGGAAAAGGTTGCCGACCGTAGGAGTTGCTCGCATTGAAAAGGTCTGTTTTCGTTTCTTTCTCTCGTTCGATCGGTCCTTGTCGCGTCTCGTTTCATCTCGCTCGTCTCGACCGAACCCGCCTCGTCTGGTCTCGTCTCGTCGGTTGATGCACCGGCTATTCCGTATAGGATGCGTTTCTCCGCAGGTACGACTCCGGTCCGTTTTTTTCATTCTACCGATCACAATGCTTCACCTGATCTCTGATACCACCCTCGCATTCTTCGGAGATTTTCACACGGCAGGTACCCGCTCGTCGTTCCTAACGTATTAAGCGCGTTCGACATTTGCCATCGAAACGAGAAGAACGCGGAAGGGGAACGAATACTCTCGCGTGTAGCAATATGGGACTTTGAATCGCTTTGCATCGCTTCGAATCTTATCGCGCGTTGCAACAACACAGATTCGAATATGATTCGACGTTGAGTAGCTCTCGGAAGCGTCTCGATCGTCTCGGATCTCGTACATACGTTGCAATGTGATATTAGAAAAATGATATTAAAAAAATATAAAATGATATTAGAAAAATATAAGGACATTGTTATGATCGTTGATAGAGAAAAGATACTTTTACCCAATTTATATTTTCGATTTTACATAAAGATCCGCGGTCCAATTATAACGAAGGAAGCCGCGTGCCGCGACCGCTGTACGATTGAATCCGTAACGAGTTTGAAAATTATTTAACCGAAAGTTATGTACGTCGATAGATATCGAAATCCATCGGAGAGAACAATGAGAAAAACGATACAACAAAGTAATACTAAATTAATCGAATACTTATTTATCAAGCTTTCGAACCTTATCGAAATTCTCCAGAACCGTAAGACTTCCAAGATGTCCAAGAGATGTTTCAAGAGCGTTTCACAAATCCCATCGCTGCTCGCGTGTTTACGTAGAAAATACACTTTGTTTCACCGACGACAGCGATCTTATTCGTTCGATTGAAATGCCGTGAAAAATGAATTGTCATGGCGTTTCCGTTACGACTGAAAGCCCGATGATCCCTTATTGCTCGCGAATCGGATAACTAAATATTTATTTATTATCTATAATATAGATACCTCTTGTAAATCAAATATTCACCGAAATACGAAGAACGAGACACGCGCGACAATAGAATAACCGATCAAGTAGGAGAAAGAGAGAGAGAGAGAGAGAGAGAGAGAGAGAAAGAGAGTGAATGGGAGCAGCCGAGGGTGGCGATGGCAGCGATGGTGTTCACCGGCGGAACGAACATCGCGGAGTAGACACGAGATCCACCGGGACGTTTCCTCGCAGTACCGACTGCAAAGATTATTCGCTATGGGGAATCAGACGTGTAGAACGTGCGTGCGGTACCATGGGGGTAGCTCAGCTGCTTTCTGCTACGTACATCAGGGGGTATACGAGACTCCCCGTTCGCAGCTGCCAGATCGCGCACCTTCCATGTCGCAACACGTAACACCGCTTTTCGAAGCACTTTCCACATGCTTCCGACTAGATGTACCCCATAAACGCGTCTCGAAAGCCTGATCGAGGAACGATTCGTTCGTATTTTCACGCATTTTTTCGTCGATTCTCCGTTTTTCCGTTTCTCCGTTTCACGTTTCGCGTTGCGGAGGGCAAATCGAGTACCAGGATGATCCGCGTTCGCGCTAAATACGAAGAATAGATTCGCCTTTGTTTCCCGATAACGGTATGGCTGGGAAAAATGAAACGGGTCGAGTCGCCTTGCGAGAAATCAGTGTCGAACGTATAACCGACTGGAAGGGGACAGGAATCGAGCGAACGCCTGTGTCCCTACGACTCTGATTTTTCTATAAGAAGGAGTGCAGATGGTCGTATCCATTGTGATGGTTGGCACGTGCCAACTATGGGTACCCCGATGGTGCACCGCTAAGTGCACACACGCATACGCGCGCACATGCGCGCGAACACGGGACACTCGCTGCAAGCGGGTCGCAAGTAGCAAGCACATCGAACGTATACGTATACATGCGTATACGAGGCATGCGTACGCGTACCTATGTGTATGCGTGCGCGTAACGTATGACATGCATAGGCATCGCGGTCTCGTGATGCGGTGCGGTGCGGCGCAATGTGTTCTATTGATATCGGCAAGAAGTACGGGAACACATTTACGTAACATACCTGTCGAAAGGTTCTCAAATCTCGGAACCATTGACATATGTTCCCCTTTCGTAAACCTTTCGTTACCACGGCATTTCGCGAACGCTATCGATTCGAAGTAAACGTCGATTTGTAAACATACGTCTCTATACTATGTACGTACGTATGTACATGCATTTCTCTCGTACTCGATATCCGCCTCAAACTATCGCGAAACGCGAAACGTGCGAACGTTTACACTTCGGCATACCCGAGTCGACGACGGCGTACCCGAAGAGCGGAGAGCGGATAACGGATAACGTATAGCAGATAGCAGATATCGGATAGCAGATAGCAGATAGAATCGCACGATCGCGACAAGAAACGTGATTGGGTAATGGATAATGGATAAATGGACGATCGGTGGTGTTATAGCTTAGAACGATGCGACAACATCTATTCGAGTCGAAAGAATCGAACGAACGAACGAAGAGCCACTGGTGGATGATGACCCCGTAACCGTAAAGTCTGGTAGCGAGCAAGACAGCTTTGCAGCTTCGATCACCTAAACGGGATCATCATCTGTTCCTTCGGGATCGGGAAGGGCGTACAAGACAGCTTGCTCGTTCTCGCCATTCTTACGATACACGCGCAGCCGTCGTAGTCGCAGATGCACTGTACACGTAAGAGATGAAAATTTGCAATACGACAGGAAGAAATCGAAAGAACGGAGGGAAGGAGCATACGATTTGTTCGAACCCCTCGCCAACAGTTAGCAAAAGTCCCCTCTTCTTCTGGATGGATAGATGGAAACGGTGGCAAGTCAGAAAAAATAATCACTCTGGGAAAAGAAGAATCGGCGCATCGAGTTCAAGGGGCGTTGAGTTTAGGGTTGGATTCGGAAAGCAAAACTACGAGAAACAGAAGGAGGGTGCGGAAGAGGAAGAGGAAGAATAGGGGGAGGAGGAGGAGGAAGAGGAAGAGTAGCAAGGCAGGAGCAGGAGAAAGAGAAAGAGGGAAAGAAACAGAAGGGGACAGCAGATTTTATGGAGGCGTAT